CAGGGGAGCAGAAACATTAGCCTCCCAGGCTGGCTGATGATGACCTGACGGTCGCCATCAGCTGCTGTCGACTCTGTCAGAGTCTGTCTGTTAGTCTGTTTACATTCCCCCGGAGCTGGCACGGCTTCGCTAATGCCTGCCTTAATAGCGGAGCAGAACCTCAATAACAAATGAATTTCATTTAGTCGACTACGAAAGCCTTGGGGAGCGCCTAGCTACAGCTTAAAACCAATTTCCATTTAGTTTCAATTTCTCTGTGAAAGATCGAAGGAATTTGTGCTATTGAAATTACGTTGGAAGTCACTGCCTTCCAAGTTTCTTTTCCCAATTATTTCTGACCTATGAGAAAAGGAAAATGTTCTCGTAATTAGAATTTAATTATTCTTAATCTGTTCAGAGGACTATACATTTCTAGGGCTGAAGAAATAGCTCCATGGTAAAGAACACTTTCTACCCTTACATTCAGAGGACCTGGGTATGGTTCTGAACACCCACATGGAGGTTCACAATTCACTGTAACTGCAGTTCCAGGGGATCCAATGCCTGCTTTCCACCTCTGCAGGTACTAGTCACACACACTATGCACGTATAGTCCAACACTCATACACATAAAACAAATCTTTAAAAAGAGAAACATAAAAATATGCTCTTAATTTATTAACATTTCACACCTATTAAGATCAAATCTAGGGCCGGACTGTGGCATGTATTGCATACACAAGGCACTGTGTTTTATTTCTCTCTACCACCAGAAAAAAACAGAGGGAGAAAACCTTTCTAATCAGAATAAGTGGCCTGATTCATAAAAAACACAGACTACCCACTTAAACCTCACAAAAACAACAATAATATTTTGGTACACGTATATTTTGAAAATTACCCATGATATACTCACATAAATGTATTATCTATTATCTTAAATTTAATTATGCAATTTGGGTGCCTAAATCAAGCTGTTTTAAATTCTTGCATCTATAAACCAATAATTCAATACAAGGGCTATGTTAATGATCATTCCTCAGAATTTTTAATATGTAGTCTGTTTGCTTGCAGATAGTTTGGTTTAGTGTCTTTCTTGGAGATGGAACATGGCAGGGGCAGCTGGGTTCTAAGGATTTGTTTGGAAGGAGACCCTATAATTGTTTTAAACTGGACTGTTGGATGATGACACTTTTACTTGACTTGAATGGCATTCCAGTGCCACTGAAAGTCCTGCTTTAATAACTATTCAAGAGACACGTGAGCTCTCAGAAATATCAATTGTTTTTTAAAAAAAATAAAGCTAAGCAAAAGTAGCTTTTTCACACTAATGTGACTTATAAGTCTTAAAAGCAGAGTAAGTCCCAACACGGGGAAACAGACAAATTAGAGAAACACAGTGTGCATACGGAAATATCTGCATCTAAAATTAAAAGAATGAACCTCCAGTAAGTTGTCCCAAATAGGATAAAAGGCAAAGAGGCATCAAAGAGGAAGCCATGGTAGTTGCTTCACAAATATTTGCCCAAGACTTAATAGCGTCCCATTCTGCACCGACTTGACCCCCCCTTCACCACTCCCTTCCCTCTGTAATCTAAACCTTCCCCACATCCATCTCATCCATCTCCTCTCACACTTTCCCAGGGGCCATCTTCAGTCTAATGTGCTGGTCACCCACTCCCTCAGCCTTCTAATTTCACGACTGCAATTGCATTTAGTAGACATTTATTCAGACAGTGGGAAAGGTGAGTGGCTGCACAGAGTGCGGCAGGTTTGACCAATTTTACATAACAAGAAATCTAGGACAAAGGCAACTCACTGGAATTCCAAGTTGGAGAAAAGGCCCAGTGAGAATTGGCCTTGGCAATCAGAATCACCAAGGCTGAGCCACAGCCCTGCAGTGACCTTGGGCTGGTCACCAAGCTCCCCAGGCTTCATTTAACATTTAGCTGTCAAGGACAACTACTGTCATGTTTGAAGTCAAGAGCCACTTTACGAGCTGCAACCACACATTACAAAGAACTTAGGAAAAATCCATGTTTATACAGCAAAAGAGCAAAATGTATGTTACGGTTGTTGTAGTCTGAGTGGCCAGTTCTCTATTTAAGAAGTATGCAGACTCAGGGAAGGGCTTAACATCTCTGTGATCTAGAGTCCCCATTTAATTATCTGACGATAATAGTAGCTATCTCATTAGAGATGTGGGAAGGATAAAGTTGATTAATTGATGTAAGAAATTCCATATAACAGTAATTGGGTAAAACTCTACAGTGTCTAGCACGAGAAGCATCTTAGAAATAGTATCTATTATTTGGCTCATTGTTATTAGTATTTCAGGAAAAAACATTTCAGATAAGTCTTGATGGAATGGTAAGAGCTAATCAAAGTGTTAAGGAAAGAACTCTTAAAGAGACAGCAAGAATAAAAGAAGCAAAAGGAGAGAAGAAGAAAAACTGTCCAGAGATCAGAAATACACCTTACCTAGAGAATAATGAAGTAGGTAAGAGGGCTAAAACCAGAAGATGAAGGCTTAGCTATAGAAGGGCTTGATGCAAGTTCCAGCTGCCTGTAAAAACTTCACTACCCAGTGGGGAGACTGTCAAAGTCTTAGAGCATAACAGAAGTAATATAATCATGGGCGTATTGGCTTAGCTGAACTACACCGGGCTAGAGTAGGCTATAGGCAACAGCAGAGGCAGAAAACTCTATGTGCTGGGAGTTTGCGCAGAGCAAACCAAATAAGAACAGCAAAGGTGGCCAAGTTCCTGCGGTTGTAGAACCAGGACCCATAGGGACTGACTATGGCGGCGGGGGGGCCTTGGAGAGGAAATTGGGGGATGAACAGCTTGAGGAACAGCAGACACATGAGTGATGGATGGACCACTGAGGGTTGAGCGCAGTTGATTTTTAGCAAGGGAGAAGCTGTGCTTGGGTTCCGACAGAGCAGGGTCTGGAAGGTTGCAGTGAGTGGTGAAGTTGTAAGGAGACTGGAGACTGGACTACCAAAGACAGCTGACAGAGCAAGAGCCAAGATATAAGCGGCACCTATAGACTAAGAAGGCAGCAAATAGCCCCGAAGAAACCTCATGAAAAAATAAGACAAGCAAACAAAGCAGGGAGAAGAGACAGAAAAGGGCAATAAGGTCAATGTGCTCACCCTCACCATTCTAGTCCTAGACCGGGGCTGACCCTTAAGGCTGCATTTGGAGCTGTTCCTCTCTCGCCTCAGAGTACCCACTGCAGACCATGTTAGAGGTCTTCTCAGAGAATAGTGGAATTATCCGTCTATCACATGCATTGCTCTGACGGCAAAACATCATATACATGCTTGATACATGTTCAAACAATGAATGAATGAGCTAATGACAATAGGACCTCAGCCCTCCATGCCATTGCATAACATAAGGCCTTTTCCTACATCACAAGCTAGGCACTCATTCACAAATCTGGGTCATATGTCAAGTAGCAGACTGAATTACTCTACTGGCTTTTTTGCTAGCATCGAAACAACCTAGTGGGTTACATAAATGGTTTTTAAAATGTGTTCTCAAAAGTTTTGGTGGTTCCATAACATACCTGATCCATCTCATCCATCTGATTCTGCTTTCCAAGAACCATCCAGAATAAAAGTTGGAAGGAAGCAGAAAACACCAATCAAGTCGAAACTGGATATAAAAGAAACTGGTCTTGAGAGACCAGTGTAGTATTGCAGTTCTTAAGAAGGCTGCTGAGATTTTCTTACCTTTGAAATACATTTTGCAGTCTTCAGATTATAGGAGACTTATATAAAGTCATTCACATGAATTCAAAAACTTACTCAAGAGGTCATAAGAGCATCATAAGCTTGGAAACCCTTCTACGATGCTCCTTTCCTCTCTATGTTCATATGTGAAGTAGGGCACTAAGCATATTTTTCCATTATGTAAGTATGGTTTACTTTCTACAGCTTCTAATTTCTATTCTTCAACCTGAGAATTGCTCTCTTAGGAACCTACAGATAATTTATCCAAGGTTGTTCCTGTGACATTTAAAGCTGAATTCAGCTCCACACTAAGATTCTGTTTGAATTGGCATGGATGGGATTCTGGCAAGCACAGATCTGAGCAAGTTGACTGTGGTAAGCCAGTGTGTACTCACTCCTCCCCAGACCCACATTCGGTGATGTCATCTTGGTAACTTGAAGTCAGCCATGCTAGGAGTATCTGCCCTGTGGAAATACTCTAAGTGCTAAAAAGTACAACTTTCATGCTGCCCAAAGATCCAGTTGACCAGCAAACTGCTCATTTGGGAACCCACTACAAAGAAAGGAACATACTCAATGAATTAAATTTTCTGGAGTCTCTCATGGCTGCAATTTACATGTTAGCAGGCTCATTGCCTTTCACCACACTTTCAGTATTCTTCCAGAAATATACACGTAAACTATTTTAATTGACTCTCATTTTTAACTTGCAAGGTTTAGTAGTCTGTATTTATAAAATTAATTATAGAAGCTGAAGGAGTAAAATCAATTTAAGAAGCAATTTAGTACAACTCTTTCGGAGTTAAAAAATAAAAAAAGTAAAATATTTAGATTAAAAAAACTTGAGACACTCTTGCATCCACCAGACTATATAAGGCAACGTGGTGATCACAATGTACCATATATCTCGTCTCACTACCTGAATTTCTCAATAGGGTAGTCATGTGGGTTTTTTAAAAGATAAAAATTTTCATTATGACATCTCAACTCTGGCCCTGAAAGGAGAAAGCTCTATACCACTAAAAAGAAAAAAAAAATCGAAAGAAAATATCAAAACAGAGCCAGAGTGAAATAACTAGCATATGTCATCTTCCTGCCTTGTCGTGCAAATATAGCAAATATTTGTACCAAAGTTATCTCTTATGGAAAGAACGTTCCCTTCTGACAGGATGTTGAATAATGACCACCTCTTAGAGTTGATAATACAGTTATGGACTCATAACAGCACATTATCATGTGATGCTATAGGTGTAATAAAGAGAAGGTGTAAACACTGTACCCATGCAAGAAGCAACAGATTTCTTTTCACCGTTCCACAATATCCCAGCATTCCCACGATGATAAGGAAACAGCAAACAGCAATCATGACCGGGTGGACCACAGGGAAATAAGTCAAGATGACCGCCTCTTCTACCCTAAAAGAGGAAGATCGTATCACAAGATGAACAGAGCATCACCAACAAGATCAGAACGCTCCCCAGATTCAGACACTGAAGAAATGGCTCTGTGAGCTGTGGTTCCACAAGCTGTCAGCCTTCCAGAGCTGGTGACCTTTATCACTTTGTATCTCTCTGTTTGCTTACTCTATCTTTGTTTTAGCCTTACGGTGCTTCTATGTAGCTGTCAGCTTTTCTACCCCAACACATTTCAAATGTGGGCTCCCATGCACCAGCCTAAGAAAACACGAATTCCAACCGGAGGATTGCCCTCTTGCCTGAACTTGAAGTCTGTACAGCAGTTTTGTTCTCTCTGGTAATGAGAACACACTTTCTAATGTGAAGAAAGGATAGGAAAATTGAGGTATAATCACAGGAGAAGGAAAGGAAGGGCTTTTTGACAGGCTTTTTTACAGTCACTAATCAGAGCATGTGATCATGATGATAATGAAACTTAGCCATTGCTCAGTGCTTATAAGCACTGTTGTACTAAAGTCTTTTCCGAAAAGGTTTCTTCTCACTTGATTCTTACCATGACTCAGGGTGGTGTATATATATATATATTACAGTCTCCACTCAGAGACAAGGACAAGGCAGGCAACTGGTGTGTTAGTGATCGTAGAATTGTCCGTGTAAAGAACTATTACCTGATGTCCTGTAGGACTAGTGGCATTCCTTAATGAAAACGTTTAAAAAAGAAAGAGAGAAAGAGGTGGAGGGAGGGAGGGAGGGAGGGAGGGAAGGAAGGAAGGAAGGAAGGAAGGAAGGAAGGAAGGAACGAAGGAAGGAACGAAGGAAGGAACGAAGGAAGGAACGAAGGAAGGAAGGAGTAAATTAGGAAGGAAGGAGCAAATTCCAGCAACGAAGGTACAGCGACAGGAAAAAAGAGAACCACTCAACGAACAGATTAGAGCAAAGATGTTTCAAAACTGTGACCTGGGAAGATCAAGTAAAAACATTCAATAATAACAGGCCTACCTTGTTTCTGCAGTTAAAGTCAATACATTATTCAGGTAGTCCCTCATCCAAGCAGAAACGGCCAAGACACTGATGGACATTAACTAAGGAGAAGACATAACAAACAAACTGGTTACCAGAGATTTGTCTAGCAGTCACTTGAAGATTAACAACCTAAAGTGAAGGATTTATTATATAATTTTTATGTTTTTCCTAATTACTTATGGGTTTTCTATTGAATTTTACTGGTACCATAAATATCTGGCTAGTCCATATAGTAATCATATATACATGAAATAGAATCTCGGCAAACAGGATACAGACAAGTGAACCTTAAGTGGGTGGCCTCAAGTTCAGTGACAAAATTGCCTAAGAAGAACTCAACTTTTAAATCTAAGATGGACCTAAAACTGTCATCCTTAAATGCAATGAAGCAATTAAATATGGCTCCTGAACAATTAAACATTGTCAAAAAAGGTCACAGGAGCTATCAAAAAGAACTTCTGTAGACTAAAATCCAAACAAAGTGAATGTTAGAATGATAGTAATAACAATAAATGTAATGGTTTGAAATACTAATATGTTTCAAAATCAATGCTGATCATTATAGCATGATGGCCATTCAAATCGCTGTCCAGAAAATGAAAGAACCTCTTACTTATTTTTATTCTATTTTTCTTATGCAAAGCAAAGGCAGAGCCAAAGACTTAGTGAGATTTTTAATAACAGAATTTCTAGTCATGCATGCAACCATTATACTGCAGTAACATTTAACAACTTCTCCTGAAACATTGAAGCTATACAGGAAATTCTTCAACGCTAGACAAAATTAGCAGATGAGAAATTCTCAATCTGCCTGTACAGAAGAGTCACCTAGGACTCAAGCATTTCTTGAGCCTATAGTGTACCAGCCCTTGGAGCAGAAATAAGGCACCATTAGTGTGACAGTTTCCCAGTTGTCCCCGCTCACTGGCAGGGTTGAGGACCGCTGCAGCCATGGAAGGCTGAGAGAGCTGTGAAGAACAGAAAGATCAGACTGCAGATAACAGACCCACCCAACCCATCTAGTTCAAGAAGAGAGACAGTCAGACACTGTAGGTTCCATGATCTGAGCAATCGGCAGCACCCAGAAATAAACAGATGAAGAATTTTTACCGAAAAGTCAAGCTTAAACCCAACTAAGCATCAGTTGTATCAGTTTATGGAGACAAACTACCAGGTCTAGATCTAGCCCCCACCTCTGGGATGCAGTAAATGAAATCAAGAATGTGAGATTATTTCACAAGACAAACACAGTTGTTTCTTCACTTTAAAAAAGGTAGACACTGAAATACAAATTTCAAAAAGTAAAGGAAGAACTGTTAAAGATTCAAAGGAGATCAAGAAATTGCCCAATTTAATATGCTGGTCTTCTCTGAACTCTGATTCAAACAAATCAATATTAAAGGAATTTGCAGACAACTGGAGAAATTTTAACACTGATGTTTAAAAATACTAAGACCTTGGCTATTCATTTAGGTATGAACACAAATTCAATTTATTTTTGAAGGTCCCTGACTTTCGGGAGCTCTACTGTGAATTGTGGATGAAGTTTCACTATGACTGAGATAATAAACAGCCATGCCCGGCAGGGAAGGTTAACAGAAAAGTGGAACAGAGTGTGTTCGTGGCTACTGGCACTGAGCAATGAGGAAATAGGGGTTAATTACAGTCCTTTCAAGTAGATTTGTGCTTTAAAATTCTCATAACTAAAAACTGCAAGAAGAAAAAACAAAACTACCTAAAACATGTTGGTAATAATTCTGCCTAAAAACCGTTGCTAAAAAGGGAAAGATGGCTCCTGGATTCTGAAGATTTTCCTATTTTATCTGAAATCTTTTCAAATATGTCTTTGTTTTCTTAACACTCAAGTATAACACTCAAGCAATTTGACTTAACCTTATGGTTAACATTTCTGGCATTTTGATGGACAGCTGTTAGTTCAGAGTTACTGCTGATGGATGGCCATCTAAGATGGTAATGAGTCTAAGTTGATGCAGACAGTGACCTCAAAACAGGCTCTCTAGAAAAAGCCTCCAAGGCGAGCTCCTGTCCTGCCTGCCAAGAAGGATGGCTCTCTGCTGAAAAGACAGAGATCACTTGTTTACAAATCTGTATTCCATACCTTTCATCTCACATCTGCTCGGCAATGTGTGGCTCTTAACCTTGTAAATGTCACAGGGGTAGGATATTTCATTATTCTAAATTATTTTGCAGTTATAAAGAACCCCTTCGTTGCTCTATAAAGTAAGAAATGATCTTTGATACCTCCATCCTTGAATGTCATTCTCTTTAATCATTTTGAGAATTTCCTACATTAGTATAATGTATTTTGATCATATCCACCCATTCTTCCCCCTGTCCAACTCATCCTTGTGTTTCTTAGTCCATTTTCAACTTTACAGTCATGAATCTTCATTGTGTAAAATTGATTAACAGTGGTTGTCACTAGATACTGTTCTTCCCCTTATAGAAAGAGAGGGGAGAGGAAGGGAAAAAAGGAAGGAAGGAAGGAAGGAAGGAAGGAAGGAAGGAAGGAAGGAAGGAAGGAAGGAAGAAAGGAAGGAAGGAAGGAAGGAAGGAAGGAAGGAAGGAAGGAAAAAGAAATTCATTTCATTTGAACTGTATGTTTCAAGACATTTCCTAAATGGCAGGATGAATAAAGCTTTGGCTTTGAAGTCATGATGCCATTTAAAGACTATGTATTGATCATGGCCAGGTACTGTGCTGTGTGCTAGAGATGCACTACTGAGAAGAAACTGACAATATCTCCATGATGCAATTAACCAGGGAAGAGGACACACATTACCAACTCCTCAGAGGTGTGAATGCGCAGCTGCAGACTGTACTAAGTCTATGGCAGAAATAGGACAAGATGCTTTAACAACTCCTTTTGGACTGTCTGACAGAATCCACAGGGTCAAAGGGACTTCTCTAAGGGGCCTGGGATCTGAAGAGCAATGTCAAGTTAATTAGGAGAGAGAGGATAAAAAGAACTTTCCAGTCAAAAAGAAGAGCAAAGGTTCCAGAGCGGAAGGTAGCGTGGTACATTCAGGAAAGGGAAATTGCTCTGGTGGGAATGCACCCGCAGGCAAGAGTCCGATGACAGCCTTGGAAGCCACCTGAAGGAGTAGGTCCTTGATCATGATGACAATGGGAAGCCATAGAACTCTGAACTCCAACTATGAATCCCACTTCTGTACTTTTCGGTCGATGACTTCTGGTATGGCATTTAATCTTTCTTTGGTCTTAGATTTTCTTCACTTTTAAATGATCATTTAAAAAAAAACTGCGTTAAAGGAGATTCTTTTGATAAAGTGGACCCAAATCTATTACCTATTATTATCACATACCACTTGCGACCTGAGGGTTTCTCTTGCTCTTTCTCAATGTAAGAATCTAGACTGTTTCTAAATCAGTTCGGAAATGGAATTACCAGGTAAGTGAAGGTCTACCCAGAGGACAGCCCAGAGAGCTACTGGACAGCCATTCTCAATCTTAGCATGTCTAAAACCAACCTCAACTCTGCTTGTTCTTTTGTCCCTCTCAGGGTGTTTACAGGCCTAGTGAATGGGATAATGAGCCCTTCAATCACTTCAACTAGCAACTTGGCAGACAGCCTGAACCTCTCCCTCTTCCTCACTGGACATTTAATTAGTTTTGAAGCCTTTACATGGTTCCTGAGAGGCATCTGGCAAATCCCTCCCCATTTCCTGCTGCTTCAGGCTAGTTCAAGCCCCAGCCTCTCTTGTCAGGATATAGCAATCATCTCCATAAGATATCTCTCCAGCCCACAGTCTCCTAGTCCACAATAGAGGATCAAGCATGCTTTAGCACACAGCCGTCCCTATATTATTCCCAACTTTGACTGCCTTTTCCCTGATCTCTCTCGAGAGTAAAGTTTAAATATCTGCAGCAGTCACACAAGGCCTTTTTACTCTCTCTTTAAAATGTTCTTCTATTGTGTTTGCTGGCAAATTGTTCCCATAGTTGACCAATGATGGAAGCCCTTGCAAAGGGCACTGTGCATACCTCCCAAGGTCCCATGTCTGTTCTTGCAGTCACTCTGTCCCGCCCTAGACTTCCAGTCCTCAGAAGGAAAGCAACCTCCACTTCTGCTTGGACATCAGCCCAAGCCTCAGTTAAAGTGGAAAGACTGTCTCCAGGCTCCCTCTGAACCCACCACACTGTGAATGCTCTTGCTGCAGTCCTGGGGAGTGTCTATCTCATTTTCCGCTTTACCTGCTCCATTGAAGAGAACTCACTGAGTAATAGGGCCTCATACTAGCTAGGTGTGTGGATGGGAAAGTAATTAAACTACATGGAACATCTTCTGCTTTCTGAGCAAACTGAGTACTAGAGATCTTTAGCAAAATTAAACACTCTGACAGAACTAAACTTCACTTGCTAGAAATTTTCCGTCGGAAGATGCTGGCCAAATGACAATGTAATGATGTACAATGCAGGTCAGAAACTAGTAGAGGAAGGCTTTAGACTGCACACTGTACATTCTACCATGCGTCACTGTGTCATCCTGACGGGCGTCTCGCAAACACTGCAGCTGTACCTGGGACGCTAGTCAAAATAAATATCAACACCAAGCCTTCTACCACAGCAAGCAAGCACCCTTGAAAATAAATGACGTAAATGCCTGAAAACAATCTCATCCTCAAAGAGTGAGCTTACTCACTGAGGCTGAGAAAGTGGTGAGGGAAGGCCCAAGTGGAGCATGGCTACACCAAGGAACTAAGCCAAAATGAGACTGGATCAGTTCAATAAGTCATCCGCACATTACATAGTCAAGAAGTCTAACTTACAGGAACCGCTCACGCTCCCAACTCAGTCGCTGTGTGTTCTGTGACTTCCCCAAATCAGTTCTTATTTTGTTTTAGACTTACATTTTCTCTTTTTGGACTAAGCATACAAAATACTGTGTGTATTTATCGGATATTCATATTTTAATTTACAAATTGGATGCGTATGGATCAAATCAGGGACATAGTTATTCACCTGTTATTCAGGATCTCCTGCTGTGGGAGTACCTTCCGCTGCTTCAGCCAATAGT